TTGATTATCGTGTAATTCCGGCATAGAAGGGGCCATTTCTTCAGTTTCCGTGGGGATCGTAAAAGGCGGCTAAGGGAATTTATTAGTCGAGCGATGGGCAGCAGCGTCCCTCTTAAAACTTCACTAAAGCCTAACTGCGGTTGCCAACCCTTCTGCCAAGCGTTGCTTACAATTTAGTTATTACAATTTAATTGTTTTCAATAATTTACAGATATTATTTAAAGTTGCCACATTCAGCAGATAACAAAATTCCGAATTCGAATGTAGAATCATAAAAAATGTCAATTTAAAAGAGCTTATAAATAAGTATTATTTAAATAAAAATTATTTATATTTTATTCAATATGAATGCAGTATGAATGCTTTTAATATGTAATCTACTTCAATGGACTTTATGAAAAGGTAAGTTTCATTAAAAAGTTTCATTGGAAACATCACAGAAAAAAATATTTAAAAAAATTTACTAATCGAATCATTAAATCGATTAATTGCTCATTTCCCTACCATTAAACATGAACATACTGTTTTATGGTCTTATTGTGTATAAGTTCTATTATAACAGACTATATTTCCATCGCAAACATTCTACGGCAGCCGTATGACCCACCGTCGTATCTAAATCTTGTTTTACACGACGCGACCTAGATTCACGTCGTAATATTTAACTGATCTTAATCCTGTGCCGTATCAGATAACAGGAGATAACACTGAAATACGGTTTAATTATCGTCTGATGAGTTGTTTTTTATTTACCTAGTATGTACGTACTGCGTTTCTGACTTTTTACACCATTCTTACTAGTTCTTTGTTCTGTGTTCATTGTACTCTTCTGTGTATCCTGATAATATCATCAGGATACACAGAAGAATACACGACTCTTCTCTAAAAAAAGGTTTTATAATCATCTGTTTTTGATGAAACATTTATATGGAAACTATCTATATAATGTAAGCGTACAGTATATAAAAATAAATGTTTCTAAGTAATTAAAAAAAAAAAATGAAAAAAAAAAACAATATAGTTTTAAGTATATCTCATTTGAACTGAGGAAAATGAGGCACATGACACGAAAAAAGAGAAATGGTGAATGTTTTATTAAAATTTACCTACGATCTCTATGAATAAAATATACAATGCAACGCATATGTACTCAAACAAACGTCACTTTGACAGCTGTCACTTTAAATGACAGGGGGGTCTGGCACTTTCCTACCCGCCTTTTTCATCGACCGAATGCGGACGGCAGAGTGCGTGAGTGATATTCGGTAGCCATACCATTCTAAATTAGTATTAATTTATTCATTCTATTTAAAGCTTCGTTAATTATTTCGTGATTAGATTCAAATTAATGCGAGTAATGTATACAGTAGCAATTTAACTAATTATTTGACATAGGTATACTATTAACATCTATTTTTACGATTAAATCGAAAAGTTTTGAATATGAGTAGATACTAAGCCGATTTTAATTAGACGCTTTTATAATTTGTAGACGATTTACGTCAATTTAACTTAATTGGATTAAATAATGAATATTTTCATACAGCAAGGGTTATAATTAAATATACGGGCCACTTGATAGTAAAATCAACTACCACATCTCTTAAACACTGGTTCAAACAAATGCACTTTGCTCCGCAAATTAAATGAGTAAAGAGTGCGATTAAAATGTCGGGCACTAACAAAAAAAGATTTTAATTGTACCATTTTGTTTTTTTTTCTTTTCTCTGTAGTCTATACTATTGTCTCTTCTTAATATTGCCATATAAAAATTATTATAAGGACTGTACTAATTAAATATTAAACCTAACATTTAATAATTGCGCTTCAAAAAATATGAATTTTCACAAAACCTTCGTGAAATCTCTAAAATTAGAGATCGTGCATAAACAATAATTAGAATCATCTATTCACTGGGCGCGTTTAGAATCAATAATGCTAATTACAACGGAGTAATTAGCGAGCTCGTGTTGCAACTCGCTGCATCTTACAACTAGGTCGCTGTAGGTTACAACTGCACGGTATGCGGATAAAAATAAACGGTCTTTCAACAAAGTAATTTAAAACACTGCCTATTTAAAAAGTGTTTTAAGAAACTCTGTCTAAGTGATAAAACATTTTTAGTTGGTGTTATTTACTTGTGTTTATTTGCCAATATCTATAAATAAATGAAACAAAATTTACTATTACTTTAAACACATTTTATGTTAGGATTTTCTTTAATCGTAATTTAAACATAAAAGACGTTAGAAAAGTATTTATAATTACCTTTAATTAATCTGCTAAAGAACAATTAAGTAAAGATAGTTTATTAATTTTTACTGCATATTTTCATTTTAATTTTATTTTTATTTTATATAGCCAATAAAAACTGTTTCAAGAAATCAAAAAGATAGGACACCTGATTTTTTTTAATGTAGTCAAACTGGCAAGAAACTTGACTGTTGCTTTGTTATAACACACTATATAAGTACACAAACAAACAATTACATAAGTAATAATACTATAGTAATTACAACCTTCCTACCTCCTATAAACCTTTAATTCTGTTCTTTATTCCTCTCTTATTCCGACCATCAAACTTTTTCAAACACCGCTATCGTCTCATGTTTTTATCGAAAAATAATAAAATATTACTTATCTTTACCGTCCTCCCCAATTTTTATGATCATTTTTACATCCCATAAAACCTCACCCAGTTTCACATAAGCTCTTTTTTACACAGCTATCGATAAACAACGTATAATAATTTATTCCTACTGTAAATTACATGACAGAAGGTCGCGTTGGGGTAGCAACCACCGCCCCAGTGACCCGCAACGAACAAAGCGACCTAGTTCTGTTAAAGTTGCTAATGTTTATGGCATAACTTTCATGTATATTAAAAAAAAGCGAGTTATTTACGAAAAGTAATTTCTAGAAGTCATACCTACGCGTTTCGTTGACTATTCTTTTTATTTATTGTAATTAATCTTTACGGAAACATGACGGTGTTTGCCTTTAACCCATTAATTTTGGACTCCAATTTAACGAAGTATGAGTTTGTGTAAATATCGTTTGTAGATACATCTATTGCTATCTTGCTCATGTCGTTTGCTGACAAATAGTTGTGTTCATTTTGTAGGGTAGTGAAATTATAGAGTCACTACAGGAGAGCTATCATTTTGTCATTCAACTTTACAATTAAAAAGCCACCACAATATATTTCTTTTCATTTCTATTTTATCAACTGTCTGTCATTCCTCATCACCCCACACATTTAACATTCACATCTCTGCCGCATATATTTGTCTACGGAATGGAATTTCCCTAAAAATGGACGAATCCAGTTACAAAGTCAGTCCGCTGTAACTGGAAAACTTTACGTAACCCACATAGAGTTAATATTTCAAAATAGTCAACTGGTGACTATTTAAAACGTATCCAACTAACGTTACAAAGGCGAGGAAATGAAATGAAAAACAAGGAAATGGTTCATCACGTCTTTTACGGCTTACTTTTATTTTCGGGACAGTCGAAAATGTCTTTGGTATTATATTATATTACAGTATATTATATTTAATATAAGGATTAAATTTATATAATATTGTTCCACTATTATGCAATAACTATTTTTATCATCTGGACTATACATCTCCAAACTATTTTGGGCAAAAGACCAATTTAGCAAAACCTCGACCAGAGGGAGACTTTGTACAAAAGTCGATTGCTTCGGTACCTCTGTCCCATTCGTGTTTCTACCGTGAAATAGTTGTGTTTGCATGGCTGTGTTTCGGTTTGGAGGGTGGGATATGGCGTGAATTTACTGGGTACAAAGGAATAACACCTGAGTCCTCAGGAATGGCAATGCATGGGCGGTATCATGGGCGAAACAGTATACTCTGTTATGTCCATGCTACTACTGTTCATGTCTATAGGCGACGGTTACCACTTTCCATCAGGTGGGCCGTCAGCTTGTTTGCCATTCTAAGTTGTATAAAAAAAAAACCTCAGACCCTCATAGCCAAAGTACTTTAAAGAGATAAAAAAATCAGTGTAATGGATGAGCCTGATGACATTTTACAAATGGTATATTTATTAATAGGGCTCAATTTTTAGATCTCTTCGAACCCCAAAATCTGTTAACATTTATATCGACCCCCTGAGAAACCAATATCGACCACAAGGGATCGATATCGACTACTCCATAAATCCCTGATCTAGACCAAAATTATCTATTATGAATAAATATCAGTCATTTTTTTAAATATTGGTGCACTTCTAATGTCGTTGTATATATTTTGTACCTTAAGAATAACTTAATAAGGTCACTTTTATTATAGCACAGCCTGACGATCACACCATTTTAAGCAAAGCCGTGTTGTCTGGTTTATGAATGCGATCAACCAAAAGACAATATTCTAATCTCAACAGTTGACTGCCCCATGACGTCAAACTAATTAGTACTTAAATATTTTTTTTATGCTACGTTTGAAGGATCCAAGGTTGTAGGATGAAGGAAACATGTCACGGGATAGACCATTCCACATTGTTACGGTATGGTTCACGTAAAAGTTTGCACACTTATTTGTAAGACAGCCCGGGCGGTCTACCGTGTATCGATGTTGTTACAGATCCATCCTCGTTGTACGATATCACGTTTTGTTTCTACCCTGTATTTGATATGCGATCATATCGCATAAATTTGAATTTGACAATGTCATAATCGTTTCATTCTTTTGAAAGAAAGGTAAGAAATTAAATTACTAAATTGTCTAACGGGCCTTTAGAAAATTTGGGTTGAAAGGAACATATATTTAAGATAGTACCTGTTGGCGAAATGAATAAGTTGACAAACCACGCATAGATTAATAAAATACAATTCGTTGATAAGCGCACTTAAAAAGTAATCGTTCCGATATTTCATTATAGTATCCATGTAGATTTTTAGGAAAATAAAAAAATATAATTAGTAGATAACTATATGAGAACAGGTCAATAAAAATAAAAATATGAATTACCTCGACTACTTGCCGTAAATCCTCCACGTAAACATTTTCAGTCTGAACAATTTCAGCGCAAACTCTTTCCAGCTGAGATAGTCCCGACATCTCGTCCACGATTTGATGACCTGAAAATACAAAAATTATTATAACATAACCATTTTTTTAGAATATCTTAACTCAAACACGGTCTTAAACAAACATAGGGACAGTATGATCCATGAATGCGATCAACCGAAAAGATAATGTACTATTATCAACTAATGACCGCATTTTGCAGACCGTCTGAGTGTTTTTAACACTACGCTTAAAAAATTCTAAGTTATAGGATGAAAATAAAATCTTAGATCTTGATTCACGTTAATAAAGAAAATCTTAGATCTTGATTCACGTTTATTTCGCAAGGGGTTAACAGAAAAATAACCCTTTAAAATTACAAAAAAAAATCTACGTATTGAATTGGACGCAAACATATGTAATATCTAGTAAAGAATAATTGATGTTAAAAGTAAAAAAATAAAAAAGTTTCCTAATTCAACCCGACCAGGAATGGAACTCAGAAAACGACAATATAAATATCATCAGCGTAGGTAAAAAAACTAGAATAGAGAATAAAAAATAGAAGAGGCACAATACTAGGCCACCTTATACGACATGACGATTTTTTAAAGAGCATACTAAAAAGGAAAGTGGAGAGTAAAATACTACATAAGAAAGATAAACACTAGATGTGCTTTTGTATCGAAAGGTCAAAGATATGGCCTGAAATAGAGCTGACCGGAGGAGAATATACATCAGGAATTAGTTGCCCCAACAAGAGAAAACACTTAAATTTTTTTTTTATACAACTTAGAATGGCAAACAAGCTGACGGCCCACCTGATGGATAGTGGTAACCGTCGCCTATAGACATGAGCAGTACCATGGACATAACAGAGTATACTGTTTCGCCCATGATACCTCCCATGCGTTGCCATTCCTGAGGCATTAAATGATAAGAAGAAAGTTAAAAACTAAGTAACAAATGTTTTGTAAATTTAAGATAACAGCTATTTACTTTTTCTTCGTTTTTTATTTTAATTAAAATCATCTTGCGATTATAATTTCACAACTACGATAAATGCGCCCATGATAAATACAAGGGAAACGTTTCATTTACATGAGATTATTAATCACCGGTAAAATAACAATGAATGAGATATTAAAAGACTCAACAATATGGATCACTACAACAAATCTCACACTACAAACGTCGCTCACAAAGCAGGTCATTAAAGTTATTCGTTTAGTTTAGGCGTATTGTTGCCATCATTTTAACGTTACAAAAAATACAATAGGCTGTTTAGAATAATATCATAACATACATATACTTTTATATAAGCAGTTGCTTTCACTTCCCTTGTGTCGAAAAACTCCCTATTTGAAAGCCTCATGACAGAAAAAATTGATGAAAGCTACAGCTGGAAATCCTTACTTATGTCATAAATGTGAAAGTGAGATTGCTTATTTGTTTGTTACCTTTAGCGCCTTAACGGCTTAACCAATAACTATGAAATTTGTTGTACACCTACTACATGAAATAAAGAAGGATATAGATATACATTTTATCCCGGTCAGCGAACGAAGTCGTGGGTAAAAACTAGTAGATATATAATTACTCTTTTCTGTCCTCTTTAAAAGATTACAGTATTAAACTTATCAAAACCACAAAAAAGTATAAGACAAGATCGCACTGAGAAAACAGTGGGTGGCCTTATCGCTTAAAATGATATATCTAAATAGTTTCTAATGATTATTTTGGAACGAGTATAATAATACTATAATAATAATAATATAGTATAAAAGTATATTATTTTTAATAGTCGTAATTGTTGGCATGTAATAGTGGAAGTAAACTTTGCAAAGAAACTACTACGAATAAATCAATTGTTTGTCGATATTCATCTAGGGATTGGTAAATATAGCATTATCTATATATTTTAGTTACAATATCTATATACTGGTTCAATAATTAATATTATAAAAGTATGTTATCCAAAATATCCGACCGATATGGGTGATATCGAAATGGGTGATAACCTTTTTTCCCCCATCAATGTCCAGAGAAGCCCAGTATATAGATATCGGATCGGTATCCATATTACCATGCCTATTCATCACAACAATTAATACTGACAAACAATGACAACGTAAAAACGTTTTTAAAATAATTAAATTAGAATGCACAAAAATTATCTGTTTCATTCGTGATTCAATTAATATATATAGTAACGACGCGGGAAAGAATCCAATCATTATATTTTATTACACAAAAAGAAAAGATCGATTTCAATTGATGAAAACTTAGTAATTTTAAATTAAAAACCAGACTACTAAAATTTAATGAAATTTCTATAGGAGCAATCTGAAAGTATATCCTTTGAGATAAAAAGAAGTATTTTCTATATTGGTTTATAAATGACAGTTCTGAGGTAGCAAACATAAAAAATACATATTTATGAATTGAGAACTAAGAACTCGCTTTTTCCTTTTTTGATGTTGGTTAAAAATATATCAAAATCGGTTTAAAATTACTAAATTTATCACGTAACATACAAGTAATGCAGGCTAATTGAAAATATTTACTATATTGCTATCTTTTATCACGATAAGAAAAAATAAACCTGGTAGGTGGCGATAAAAACCAAAACACCGTTTGGCGGGTTAGCTAGTAGGTCTATAAAAATTAATTACTATAAGGAAACTTCCCGTCACATACACGTAATAAATAATAATGTTAACATGCAGGAAAATTTAAATAAAGCACTTACGTGTCATGCTGTCCGGATTTCCTTCTTCAGACACGCTAGTGTTCAAAATACCAGCATTATTTACAAAGTTGTTACTTCCATTAGCAGATGCCATGTCGGCGTCACTATGATCATCTAAACTCTCTATAGAAGCTAAGTACGCCGAATTCACTCCGCCTTTATTTTGAACACCACTGCTCGACGTCGAACTAGAAGAAGCAATGGAACTCATCGACAGCGGTCGAGACACATCCACTGACGGTGCATTCAACCTAGTTACATCTTTCTCCGTAACTACACAGGTTTTCAAATTACCTGTAGACCCTATGTCTTCGGGATAGGTTTCAGTTTTTCTTAACTGTTTTGCCGAGCTTTCGATCCTCGTAAAGTCTTTTCGACACAAACTGTTCGTTCCTCTATTTACTTTAGCAAATTTTGCAGGACTCGCTTCAAGCGTTGGACTTTTGGTTTCGGCTTTCTGCGGAGAGCTATCTTTAGGTGACAATTTTGTATCGAATTCTCTATCGTTAGTAGATATAGAAACTTCGATAGATTGATCAATATAAGGCAACGATAAGGATTCAAAAGCAGTCTTGTTTTTAACACTAGGCACATCATAAATAATGGGACAATTGTTCGTAGGAACATCGTAACAAGCTTCATTGCTATCGGATTTCTGATTTGACTGAACTTGAGAGATTTTTGATGGAGACTGACTGTTATCACCAGTTTTATGTTTCCCAAAATTCCTTATATCACATGGTTGGTCATAAATTTCTACTGAAGGTAAAATTTCGACCCCTGATTGTGATATTTTTGATGTAGCTCCAACAAGAGGAATGTTTGATTTGTGTCTTGTTGATGATCTTGCTACATTTGAGGTTTTCTTTTGAAATTTCAATGTTGTTGTCTCGGTTGCACTTGATATCATCCGTTTTACATTTGGTGAGAGTTTGTCAAATGTGGACATATCAGAAAACTTTGTTTCTTTAAAAGTCCTTTGTATTTGACTATCTTTAACAACTGTATCACTGGATATAACACTACACTTACTCGTTTCATCACTAGCACCAATTTTATCACTTTTAGTTCGATTATTATAAAGAGAACTTTTATTTATCGTAGCAATCGGGAGTTTTACACTGCCAGCTAATCTTGAAGGATCTACTGAACGTTTATCTGATATTGATAAGTCCACGTTGTCTTTTTCGTTTGTCATTATGTTTTTTGTATTAAGTTCTACAGGAGGATCGTTCCTTGCGTCTTTTGCGGTTTCAAGTCGACTGTCTTCTGGCCGCAGACTTTTCCCTGGCCCCAATAACGAGTCGTAGTAACCTATGAGTGTGGGTGTCAAGTCAGTCGAACTACCTGTAACAAAATAAATATTGCCTTTGGTAAAATAGTACTTTGAATCTTTAATAGTCAAACGATTTTAAACTTCAATGCTTAGGATATAAGAAATACAGTGCTTCTGTATAGATTCTGTTGACAATTAGTGACTAATAACAATTTAATGAGTCTACATTTTCTAAGACAACGAAAACAATGTAATCTTGCATTGTTTAGATTTAATAGATGTTTTTTCAACTAAATTAGCTTCTAACTGGAATTGTTCTTTAAATTATCACGTAATATCTGTAGTTATAATAATTTTATTATTCTTTTATTTGTATGATAATTATAATTTTATTCTTCTTTTTTTTTTAATCAATGTTAAAATAAAAATATATATATATATCGTTCGTGTACGAAGATTATAAAAAAGTAAAATAGAGTTTATTTATAAAAAAGATTAACGATTAGGCAAATATGCAATTTCATCTGTAAACAGAACTGCCTTAGCTTACAAAACAATTTATAACTAAAGGCTTAGTATAAAGGATTATAGTTCCGACACCTTTAAATGACTAGGATGACTCGTAGAAACATTGTTTTAGTCAAATTGCCTGTTTCAACCCATTTCAAAATGACATGGAGTATTAGAAAAAGTCATTAGCGAATAGTAAAAACAACATTAGATGTATAAATAAATTGTTTTATTTCAGACCCTTAATATATCATTTATATTTCCGTACGGTTTATATAATAAAATGTAAACCCTCTTATAAAACTATTTAAAATCAATAGCTACATATAAAATCTGTTTTTTTTTTCGTAGCGTTATAAAATAAAATGAAACATTGCAACAGCTATAATATAGATAGATAGATAGATAATTTATTTGCATTACTTACGCCACACAAATTATATGAATATCTCATATGAATTTTTCTTAAATATCTCCCGTGTACAAACATTATCTAATAGAGGCATAAGCTTATTATCTGTATATTAAGAGTAGGTAATATATATAGTATAGCAATATCTATATATTACAGTTACAATATCTATACATATATTGGCCCAATAACAGATATATTAACTATCTATCATGCAATATACTATCGAAAAAAAAACCCACTCTTAAAGAATATAGATATACCACTGGTATGGGTGATATCGCAATGAGTGGTTATAAATATCCAGAAATCAATATATAGATATCAGATATTACCCATACTGTCTACTATCTATCTTCTATTTTCAGTCTTCCTCGAAACACACTAATGATAATCCTTGCCCCTGGCAATGATCTAGAAGAAAGTATAATCGATCAGATGGCCGCCATTTCTCCGCCATATCGGATCAACTTTCTAATGTGACAGTGTTTGACACCTCATATTTGGCAATCCTGATTTTAAATATAGCGTTACTTGTATCTATTGCATTGCTTAACTATGTATATATGTATTTATAGACGCAATAGTTCAACTATGCGTTATGTCAACCAATTTCTCTTTTTTAAACCAAAATATATTATTATTTTAGTTTATTTGAAGAATAACATTTAAAATGACAATCCTGAATTAATTTAAAAACCAGTATTAGTAATGGGATTTAACAGCCTCATTACTAGCAATACATCGTATCAGATCGACCTCCACATGGTTCCCCCTGGAAACCATAATGATTAATGCCTAATAAATTCGTGACATTGGACTAATAAACCTAACTTCATATTCACCTATCATCACTCATTAGGACCCCAGCGAGTGATAATAGGTGACGATATCTGGGAGAAAGGGATTGTTAGTAATGGAGACTAAGAATCCCATTGCTAGCAATATACCCAACCAGGTCGTCCTCCACGCGGTTCCCCCTGGAAACTATCATGGTTAGTTCCTGATGAATTCATCATGATTGGCTAACTGGCCTGTTTTCATTCTCATCTATCACCCTTCACTGGTGCTCCGCCAGCGTATCCCGTTAGCGCAGGTGGGGTTACCAAACCATTTTCACCCATCAAAAGAAAAAATATGTGATGATAGATGATGCTAGAGTATACCGGTAGCGCAGGCGGAGATATCTTATTATTATTATCGCATAAAAAAATATCATTCAATAGGGGAAAAAGGATTGTTAGTAACGGGGACTATTAGTCCCAATACTAACAATATACCCTATCAGGTTTACCTTGCACTACGTCTTTCCTGGTAACCATCATAGTAAATTCTTGATAAATACTTTAATGTGGGATCACTTGTAGTCCACGAGCGTATACCGATGGCGCAGGCGGTGTTACATTCCACTGTTCAGCCATAAAAAAATATATTATAAAGTTATGAAAAACTTACAGATTACTAAACACATAAATTTGCATTTAGAAAATATTTTCCGAAATTTCTACGATTAAGACGGACAGAGATTTTTTTCTATTTGAATCAGTACACTTTTGGTACGATGGTCTCATTTTATTTATTTATTTATTCATTAGTACAAATATGTGTACATGGCGGACTTAATGCTAAAAGCATTCTCTCCCAGTCAACCATAGGGTAAGTGTTAGAATACTCGAATGCGGTACTACTAATTATTGATATACATACGTACTAAAATACATATATAAACGAATAAATATATATGAATAACAAATATACTTACACATATATGACATATACTGTATTATACATTATATTTATTCTATCTATCCCAATGAGAGACAGGCGTAACAGATATGTATGTATGTATTTTTATGTTGCTTAGAATCCTAATAAAAGACACGTAACTTATCGACTTCAAAATCGGCCCTTTTTATTGATCCTTAGTTAAAAATAATCGACCCCTAATTTAATTGACGTAGATTGGACACATCAATCGATCGTTATCCTGTTACGATCCAATACTATGATATATGACTTCCAACGCAAATATATTTAACTAAGGGACCTAGAGATGCACTTGACTGCGAAGGATATGGTAAAAGTAACCTTATAATCGAAAATATAAGATCAATATTAGTTTGTGTAGGGAATCAATTGCCATACGTCGTCTTCGACGGAAGTGTTCCATCTACTAAGGCTAGAGTTCACTAGCACAGTGAATCACATAGAGAAGTTGATACACCCAGATATAAATAAAAATCATTAAACATTTCCTGAGTTAACAATAAATATACAATATGGAGGAATGTTTTTGCATTGTTCTAATTATTTTTTCTAAAAATTTATTTTTTTACAATTTTTAAAGAAAATTTAGTCAATAAAGTTAATTAGTCAATAAAGTTTAAATAAATATTATGTTTTGTTTTAATTAATGTGGTTAACATTAATTAGAAATATTGTAAAGTTGTTAATTAGTTCAAATATTGGAGTACAAATAGTACACGCTAATAATGATGTAAATATATGTATATATGTAATTTTACATAAATAAATGTTTATATTAACAACGATATTAGTTATAATAGGAAAACATGATTTATATGTATTATTTGGTTATCCATATAGTGACAGTTGAGACAGACAGAGAGTTTACTAGAGGGAGACTTTGTACAAAAGTCCTTCGCTTGGGTACCTCTGTCCTATTCGTGTTTCAACCGTGAAGCAGTTGTGTTTGCATGGCTGTGTTTCGGTTTGAAGGCTGGGATATGGCGTGAATTTACAGGGTACAGAGGAATAACAACTGAATCCTCAGGAATGGCAACGCATGGGGGTATCATGTGCGAAACAGTATACTCTGTGATATCCATGGTATTACTCATGTCTATAGGCGACGGTTACCACTTTCCATCAGGTGGGCCGTTAGCTTGTTTGCCATTCTAAGTTGTATAAAAAAAAAGGCAGTAAAAATACAATGTGTCACCATTTTTAAGGAACTGCCAAAAAAAGAAGATTTTCAATTCCTTTATATTTTTTTTTTTGTGAATACATTTTACTAATGGTTTACAATCAATCAATCAATTATTTATTTGCATAAACATAGGTAAAGTCATAAATTTGTTATTGTAAAAATGTAATGCACTATGTTTCACCATCATAAGGCCTACAAATATTATTAATTACATAATTAATTTATAGAATTAAATTGTATGTATTATGTCCGTAATTCAAAAGGATTTTTATATTTATTCTCACAATTGATAGGGTTGTGATGTAGGTGGTGATGGTGATTTTTTTCAGTAGATTGTAATGAAATGATAACCCCGCCTGCGCTAACGGTATACACTGACGGGGCACTAGTAAGAGATGATAGGTGACGAAGAAAGGGTAGATCAGTTAGTCCACCGTGATGAATACACCTAAAATTCATCACGATGGTTTCCAGGGGGAACCACGTGGAGGTTGACTGATAATCTGCATTACTAACAATCCCCTTCCCCTCTGTGAAGATGTTATATGTGTTTGAAACGCGAACAAGTTCGTGTTTTCTTAGCACCCCAGGAAACTAGTGGTGGAGAAATAGTTGGAGTTGGTTCCTACAGACTTGTGTGGGCAGATGCCTGTTGACTTGCTTACTGGCAAGAAGTGCATCCTGACATTCGTCGGTGTGTCGAAACATCTTGTAGTTCACGATTTAATTCGCTTATTTTTTGAGGAGCAATAAATACTTTTTAATCGTCAGGAAGCTGTAAAAAGCTGTTAAAAGAACAAGACTTTTTGTTTAATTGAATGAAAAAATAAACGAGTTGTAGCAACATACAGACAAAAGGTTAGGAAAATTATTAAAAGTCAGTATGTAATATAAGGAAATTTTATTGTTTGCTCTGGTAGCCGTGCCCGCAAGCCATGCCTAAAATAGCAGTTATGTGGTGCAATTATGAGTTATTATGATGATATGAGGAATAGGAAAATCCATGTAGTAATCTCATGGAAACTAAGTTTAACATTCCAATATCAACAACTGGCCATAAGCGATAACAAGAACTTGTTAGAATATTTCCACAGTAACAATTATAACTCTATATTATTTATTACTCAATATTCTCTATGATTCATGAACACGTAACATATTGGAAGTAGGACAATATTATCTGTGCACAATAAAACAGG